GTTGCACCCCCCGACGATCGGTGGCCCTTGGCTGGTCGGCACCCACCAGTCGGACGTCGTCGGCACCCCACAAAAAAAAAAAGAACCCCTAATAACACCACCAACACCCCCATAGCGGCCCCGAATACCCCCATACACCCCCCCAACACCCCCAAATAGTGACCTACCGACTCAGCAAGCGTAGTACAGCCCCCAGCTCAGATTTGAAAAAAGATCAGTGGATGCCACTGGATGATTTTTTTATTTTTTATTTTTTTCCCCTGACTGGTCGGCAGACCATAGACCAGTTGGCCCAAACGGTCAGCTGCAATACGGTCGGCAGTCGGCAGGGATGCAATGCTGGGGGGGGCGCCCTAATTCGTTAATACCCCATAGGTTGAGATATATGTCAAAATGGTTTTTGTCATCGCCCACTTGTTTGAGAAAAAGAGAGTAAAAACGAAAGTCTCATCTTTTTAGGGTAAGTTGAATATGACACCCCGGGGTTATTTTCGGGTGAAGACGGTAGTGCTAACCTAAGTTTCATTACACTTGCTGTGACTTTTTTGCGAGGAATCACCAAGAATCAGTCCAAGAAGTCTAGTGCGAGTATGGCCTTGTTATACCAGTTGCCAGTTGGTAGAATCTCCAAGACTCAGTCCAAGAAGTCTAGTGCGAGACTACCTACACTCCAATGTGACAGATGAAGTACACTACAGATAGAAACTAGTACTGAAAATACAGCCAACTAACTGGGCAACACAGAACCAGTCCTCTTTCCCTCCTACACAGGCATGTAGAGAAAAGGCACACCTCCTCCACACACACGACAACAACAGGCACACCATATCACTACAGTTGGTGAGGGAAGGTGGCAATTAGATGCATGGCATTCTTTTCGTCCTCGTGCACCTAAACAACATACAATTTGAAGGACTCCAAGCTGATCACCTTGAGCAAGTATCGTCAATTACCAGAAGGGGCCAATTTGCAGCTATCCGTTGAAGTAAAATATACCAAGTTTGAAGCTAGTATTAAAGAAGACAAAAGAAGGGAGTAGTTCCAGATGGAAAGGGGTAGACGGGCTACTTACGAATAAAGAGGCGGAAAAACTATGTGATTCGCATGACCATGATGTAGGGAGTCCAGATGTAGAATATGATTTCTTTTGGGATCGCCTGGTGCACAGATGATTGCAAGACTCCAATGTAGCCTGAAACCAGGTGCAGACCATTATGCGCACATTACCAAAGGCAGCCATCATACAACTTTGCCAAACATTGTAGTGTCTGCATGGTCCCAGCATTCTTCAATAATTTCTGCTTGAACATTTTAGAAGCAAATCCATTCAACCTTTCGTACTTTTCCTTTTCTTCCAAGTCGGCGTCCAAGCGACAACAGTTTGGTGACACAACTACTGTCTTCACCCGAGTAGAACGGCTGGTCATTATAGCTGCATGTGGGGCAACTTTCAGTCTAGGTACAACAATAATCACAGGGCGTTCTATTTGGGTGAAGACAGTAGGCAAACGACACTGTCAGAAGACACATACAATGGGCTGCATGGGATCTAAAGAAGCCCGAGCTGCTGTGTTGGTGGTCAGATCATACCCAACCAGGAGTCGGGACCAAGGAGCGTCATAGTTATGGCCGCCATTCACTGGGGCTTCGGTTGCTAGTTTCACCTAATAATAGGAGGTACCAAAATCCTCCACCTTCTGGCACCAGGCGCACATGAACCATATTATTCTCAACTGTAGGCTTACAATTTCGGAGACCTGTGCTTTTGTATAACAGTCTGAAGCTTGAAACAGACAGATTCAGGCAAGACTTTGCCTACCTGAGGCTACCTCTCTTTTGTTTTCTTTTCAAATTAGCTTCAGTGTTATTTGTATCTGTTTCATTCCATTATCTTTCTTCGAGGCTTTCATCTAGTATCTCTGATGATACATCCAACATGATCTCTCTCTCCCCCCCCCCCCCCCCCCCCCCCCCCCCCCCCCTTCTCAGACATACACACACACACGTACTCGCATATACGTCCACATACAAGTTGATATCGTTAGCCCTGGTTCTCCCTCCACCCTCTCTCTCATTTGCATGGAAATGCTGTGTTGAACTCAGTGAATCCTCGTGATTATTGTTAACAATATGCATATGTAAGCGGGAAATACTGGAGCAGTTAACAGAGGCCTAAATTTTCAGGGTTTTTTTCAGGGTCATTATCACAAGCATCCCGCAAATGCACTTTCAGGGCCGGGGAGGGGGTTAAGCTGGGGCTGAAAAGTGGGGGTACCTGTTAAACACTTGTGGGGAAATGCTGTGTGGAACCCAGTGGCTCCTTGCGATCACAGACAAACTGGAAGGCATACAATGCTGGCCGAAGGCTGAAGGTCGTGGAACTAGGAGGGAATATTGCCTTCAATTTATGGATAATCCACTGCGGCCAGAGCCCGGCCATTCTGTTGATCTTGGTTACTCGTGACAATACAACATTCCCCGGGACGCTGAGACAGAGAGGAGCTTTCGAAGGAAAGGCTATCTGACTGTCAGTCCTCCCCCAAGGGAGTTATCAACGCCCATTCGGCCCAGACAGAGGGAATTGCGGAGTGGGTCAACAATGTATTTTCCTTCAGTGCTGAACCCCGGGCCGCCCGGCGACCTGGTCGTCGCCCGGGGGGGTGGCCGGGCCGCCTGGCCGGTTGTTCAGCCCGGTTGGCCACCGGGCGACCCCAGCGCATCCCAGAAGGGGGGGGGGGGTTCGGGCCGTTTTCGACGCGGGGGGCCTTCTTCCCCCCAAAGGAGGCCGTCGAGGCCAACAAACCAAAAAAAAAAGGGCCGGTAGGCCCGATTTCAACAATTTGAAATCGGGGCCCATCTGCGCCGTCGATCTCCAGGATTGACGGCCCAGATGGGCCGCGATTTTGAATTGTTCAAAGCGGGAATCATCGGCCCTCGTCCTCTCCCCCGTGGCCTTTCCCACCCGACGCGTCACTTCGCCCCCGACGGGTCGCTTCGGCGGAGCTCCGCCATCGCCCGCCACCGCCCGCCATCGCCCGCCAACGCCGTCGTCGCCCCCCGACGCCCGCCATCGCACTGCCACGCCAAGGTAAGTGGGTTAGTAGGAGAGAGAGAGAGAGAGAGAGAGAGAGAGAGAGAGAGAGAGAGAGAGAGAGAGAGAGAGAGTTCTTCTTCTTCTTCTTCTTCTTCTTCTTCTTCTTCTTATTCATCTTCTTCTTCATCCTTTCCTCCTCCTCCTCCACTTCTGACACCCGCCGAAGCCCNAGAGAGAGAGAGAGAGAGAGAGAGAGTTCTTCTTCTTCTTCTTCTTCTTCTTCTTCTTCTTCTTATTCATCTTCTTCTTCATCCTTTCCTCCTCCTCCTCCACTTCTGACACCCGCCGAAGCCCGCCATCGCGCTGCCGCGCCAAGGTAAGTGTGTTAGTAGGAGGGAGGGGGAGAGAGAGAGAGAGAGAGAGAGAGAGAGAGAGAGAGAGAGAGAGAGAGATCTTCTTTTTCCTCTTCTCCTCCTCTTCTTCTTCGTCCTCCTTTCCTCCTCCTCCTCCTTCGCTTCTTCTACTTCGCTTCTTCTTCTTCTTCTTCTTCTTCTTCTTCTTCTTCGGCCCCATTTTGAGCCCCCCTTCCCGCCGTCCTCCACCAGCCGTCTTCTTCTTCCTCTCCCCTTCACTGCAACTTCTCCTTCGCTTCTTCTTCTTCTTCTTCTTCTTCTTCTTCTTCTTCTTCTCGTTCCCCTTCGCCAGTTCTTCTTCTTCTTCTCGCCCCCTCCCCCCCCTGCCCGCCATCCCTCACACCATTTCCGTTTTTTTTCTTTTTTTCTTTTTTGCCTGTCTTGTGCCATGTGGGGCCACGTTTTGGACCTTCCCCCGCGGTGGCCCAACCGGCCGGGCACGCCTGGCCGGGCGGTGGCCCAGCCTAGCCATTCAACTTGCCAGTGGACAGGAACTGGACTGACACTCCCTGGAATAGACAAGGAGCCAGGGCACACAAGGACCTGTTTGTTTAAAGGCTGTTTTGTTGAAAAGAACGAAGAAAAAGACGGGGGTGAAATCCGAGCAAGACATGAAGAGAAAAATTATCCAAACTCCGTACAGGCTGCTACTCTCAGGAGAGCTTAGATGGACAGTCATGCACTGGAATGACCGCATGGGGTAGAGAGTACAGATTTCATTAATATTCTCTTCCAATAAATCTGGTCAATCCAGGAAATGCTAATGCTCTCTTTTAGGAATGACAGCAGTTACAAGTCAGACATCGAAGAAGTAACACCTGTGTGAGTGGAGATGCTGCATCCTCCGCAGTCAGGCTAGTTTCTCATTGTGAATTTAGACAGCCAAAAGGCTGAGAGGCTGACTTGCAGAGGGTGTTTCACAAAGGCATTAGCAAAGCTGGGTAAAGATTCCAGTGTTTTTTTTTTCGGGGGGGGGGTAACTACAGCGCAGTCACGTTTTCAGTTCTAAATAGACTTCAGGACCCTCGAATACAACCACATCCCCACCCAACCATAAAGCTGGGTTGGATACATTCACGATTTTCCTCGCTTTGGAGTAAAATTCGCGAAACCGTGACCGGAAAACATTTAAAACTGGAAACCTTGACTGCGCCCTAGTTCCTTTCTTTTTTTGTAATATTGCAGGCCTGTAGGGCCGACCGGTCGGCCGTCTGCCGACCAGTCAGAAAACAGCCATCCACTGATTTTTTTTCAAACCTGAGTTAGGGGCTGTACTCCGCTTGCTAAGTACAGCCCAAATCCGCTGAGAAACTTTTGGGGATTGGGGGGGGTATAGGGGAGGTATAGTGGGTTGTAGGGGTGGTATAGGGG